TCAAAGATAGCTTTAATTTTTCTGTTTTTCAAACACATCATCCATGTAAATTTGTTGTTGATTTTGTGATTCTTACCAGTCCAGGAACTCAAACAAAGACTCTGAATCTTAAGAGTGAATCTTAAGACCCTAATGTCTTAAGAGTTTCTTAAATGAAGGTGATAACATAGCTGTATTTGGGACTGAAGAAACAGACCGACGTTTGATCATCATCTCATGACGACAGGTACATACTCCACAATATCCTCCTCTTCAACTTTCTATAAAAACATGCAACATAGTGCTAAAATTGTTTGCCTTTCAAAATGTAACACATTTTCTTTAAAATCAAATATTGAAATTAAGTAATATTAGGGTTATAATACCTTTATATACCTATCGTACATCTAATGGTACCACTATGAACTCTTTTGGGGTAAATAAGGTACAAAGGTGTCATTTTGACATTTCTGCCCCAGTGACAAGCTATTGTAAGATTCCATTTTTCATTCTGCTACATTAATCCTTTTTGCTAAACATAACTAGGCAGTGGATCGGTAGTTCCATGTATGCTTTGCATGAGACAGCAAATGTTGAAAGGAAGTGTTGTGTTTTTAAAGTTTCATACCAGTTTGCGTGTTTTTCTTTTGTAGAACGTTGTCTCGGCATAAGTTATCTCTTCATCACAAGTCTGAACTGTTTAAAGGACAATAATAGTAGAAATAAGCACAAATAAAACACAAATAGATCTGTTTTTCACAACATATATTAAGCATTTTGTAATGCCATTATTAAATTACAATAAATTAATTAATTTGGCATGATAATGGATCACACATACATTAAAAAAAAAGATCTTAGCAGAGTATGCAATAATTATATCAATATTCATGACTTTTTAATTTTTATTGAAGCTCAACAAATTACATTGTCATTCCTAGAAATGTTAATTTGAACACCAGCAGAGGGCTGAATCTTTAAACATATAAGATTTCTAGAGCTATCAATTGATTAAAATGTTTAGATTATTTTTAAAATACTTGTTTAAAACCAGTAACACTTGCCTTCTTGGTGTCTGCATCTAACATTAGTCTTACTTAAGTTCAGCTTCTGAGTCAAACTGAAAGCTGCTGCGGTCGGTTTTCTTCAGAAACGTGGCTTGTTCTGCTGGGTGGACAAACATCTTGTGCATGACAGATCTGGCATTTAGAGCATGAAGCTTGTAGGTGAAGAGCTACTTCCTGCTTTTATGCACAACTCAGACACTTTAACCTACAGAAACATTGAACCAGGTCAAGAAAGTGTAATGATCATATTACGCTGATATTTAACTTGTTTTACGTTTTTATAATAAAATAGTTTAATAATGTTTTTGAAAAGCAGCTGGCAAACTCTCAATAAGGAAACAGGATAAATTTCGACCTACTTTGCAAAAAAAAAAAAAAAAAATTCAGTGGTGTCCAACCTTAAATTCTGCTTACTTATCACTGTCTTTTGTCACAACAATGAAACAAGATGTCTAAAGTTTTAGCAGATGCTCACAGACGATTGACTTACTACAGTTGACATTCAGCAAAATCTCTAAAATGGGGCCTATTATTAATATCAGTGGGCCCATGCTCACACTGTCAGTCCAAATCCGATTATATGTATATCCGACTGGAATCTGATCTAAATTATTGACTGTCTATTTGCTTCGCAAGAATTTAATACCTTCACTAGTTCATTCTGACCATGCACATGCTCTCATTTATTACAGTAATTGCATTGAGACACAGCCAATGTGTAGCTGTGGTGTCTCTGCTAGTCTGCATTATTACGTCACCCGAAAGAGAAAGAAGGCATGTGTATCGGTCGGTGGTAGTGTGAGGAGCGCGGAACGAGGAGACCAGGAGTACGAAACCAAGGGATTTATTCTTGTCACAGGGAATCACACATAGCACGAGGAGAAGACATCAACATACAATTCCAGACAAGGGAGAACTGAACGGGCTAGAACTAAATAGGGTAGATAACGAGGGGCAGACAGGTGATGGGGATAACTAATAACAAGGAACAAGTGATACTAAAAATGTGAAAAGGAACTGGAAGGACCAAATAAAGAAAACAGGAACTCAACAGCATGACACCTCATAACTGGACCACAGACAGTCAAGCTGTAAGGGTCAAACTGAAAATCATTAAATAAAAGCAATATTTTGAATTAAAACCTGCAATAGCAATAAATACACTTTTCACCCTTTTGAATAGGCCATTTTTAGTATAGGGTCTATGAAGATATTTTTGTCCCACTATTCAAGAAATGCAGTCAGTTGCTGCATCCTAATTTTCAGGCTATCAATCTTAAATAGTATTCGAAATTAAAATTAGTGCATCCCAAATCATAATACATTTTTACAATAACTTACCTTTACCCTTGCCTTTTTTAACTTTATTGTAAACTTCTTTATTCGATTAAATTCAAATTCCTTATATTTCTTTTATTGGGTTAGACTAGAGCTATACACATCTGGCCTATATTAAACAGCCATACAGTCATCTAGTGGTTAAACCATTACATATGACTATTATTTTTACAGGCAGCATCTACTGTATCAGATGTGAGTTGTGCTGTTTTTAGAGGGATGTGATTTTCTGCTTTAAGCACTAGAGAGCGATGTTGTGCTTATTGTGTGTGATGCTGTAATCCAATATGCAATGCACTTATTATCCAGTTTAATTTCTTCAAAAATAATAAAAGAACGGTAAATAGCAGACAATGACATGACAGCACACCTAATGGGTGTGATTAATATTTAATAATAAATATTAGGTATACATCCATGTGATAAACTAAAAATAGAACATTTTAGTTGAGTTTCTGGATGCTATGCTACTGATGAACCACTAAATTAAAACAAAAATTCAGACATCGCATTAACACCAAAATATGTAATACAAAGTGTGAAGACAGAACAGACATACTAGCAGATAATAAATGTCAATAAAACCAAAAGTGAGGTATTGTCCCATATGTACTCTGGCATCAATTCCAGTAGATACAGCATTTGATCATCGTTTTTTGGGGACATTTTGATACACAGCATCTGTCTTTGATTTCTGCAAGGAAACGCAAACAGGAAATCCAGAACCAGCAAACAGTTTAAAACCCATTTCAAAATGATAAGAGTGATTATTTCACAATATAACTTTCTAGCATCAAGCACAAGAACAGATGCGAACGCAGAGTGGCTAGAGGAAATCATAAATCCAATCACATGACTTTTTAAACAAAATGATCAAATGAATGATCATCAAACATGCACAGTTGTGAGGGGTTGAAATAAGAAGGAAGCTGTCAGATTTCAGGCAGAGAAATAGAGCTAAAATATTTCATTACTTTCATATACTTTCATATTCATATAATTCAATAAAGCTTCAGTACTTTTAGGGAAATGTTTTTTTCCCCCCAATAGCATCAGCTACTGATGTGATGTCTCATTCCCTCACTTCAGGTAACCAAAGTTACGTCAGTATGTTAATAGTTACACTGAGGTGCAAACACTTAATGAAAATAAGGTAAAAACATGCTTAAAAAAAGCATCCCTTTTCAAGCTGCTCCCTGTAGGTAATAATGATCAAGGCTGACCATCTACATCTGTTCTCTGTCCGTTTGATGCTATTGCACACACAACTTCAAACAGCAAGCTTCAATCAGACTAACTCACTGCAACAACTTCTTGCAACTCAAATCATGAATGATCTTACCGGTTTTCGAGATTTTGATGAATCAGTTCTGTCTTCCTCCAGTGTCTGAACTGAAGTAACTACAATACAGACATGTTGAAACAACAGAGCTTGCAATCTTGTATGGAAATCTGTATATCTGATCCAAATGCGTTAGTTAATATTTGTAGGTACTAGTTGAATTCTTTACCAGTTTTTCTAAATTTCCTGCAGATGCAGCACATCACGCCTGCAGCTACAATCAGAGATCCAGCAGTAGAAATCAGCACTATCAGAGAAACTGAGACAGGAGGATGTGAAGGAGACAGTTATTACTGTGACTGAATTTGTACATAAATACATATATCAATGCTGACATACCTGGGCATGCATGACAGAGTTTGCTGATGTCCAGATGTTGAGTCTGGTTGCTGATGGGATTGTTGAGCACACAGCTGTAGGTGTTTTTATCCTGATATTCCACCTCCAGAGGTAGAGAGAGACTGATGCTGAGATCAGACACACTGATGCTGGACAATAAACTGTTTCCTTTGTACCAGGAGAGAGTCACATGACTCACATTCACCACTGAACACACCAATGAACAATATGATGATGATGATGAGGATGAGGATGATGAAAGATTTTGTGAATAATCTCTGGTAAGGTTAGGAGTGGGTAGATGACCTGTTTAGACAAAAGAATCAGTGCAAGTGTTTTAATAAAAAAATTATCTACTTATTTTAAATATAAAAATATGTTACATTTTTGCTTTTAAAATTCTACAATTTTAAAAAAGACTTGCGTGGGATGGATTTTTCAGTCCCACTCCCATCCGCAAGAGCCCGCATAAAAGTAGCCTATATTTTTTTTTTTCAGTACATCCATGAAATTCACATGAAATGGTAAGTGCTGTAAATCCCGTAAATTCCACAACATCCCAGCACAAATGCTCTCGATAAAATATTTGTTATTAAAGGGGTCATATGACGTTGCTAAAAAGAACATTATTTTGTGTATTTGGTGTAATGCAATGTGTTTATGCAGTTTAAGGTAAAAAAACCCACATTATTTTCCACATACTGTACATTATTTTGCTCCTCTATGCCCTGCCTTTCTGAAACGTGTCGATTTTTACAAAGCTCATCATTCTGAAAAGAGAGGTGTGCTCTGATTGGCCAGCTATCCAGTGCATTGTGATTGGTCGAATACCTCAAGCGTGTGATGGAGATGTTATGCCCCTTACCATACTGTGATGCCCTGTCCGGCCGGAGCGACGAGACAAAAACATTAAAACCCATTATAAACAAGGCATTCGTTGCATCCAGTGGGGACATAATTACTGATTACAATGACTTATACTGTCTTTTTACGCGTTGCGTTGCATCGTGCCGCGTACACATAAAACCATGTCTGCATTTGTGATCGGAGAAATGACAAACAACAAGCGCTACTCTACACTGCCCAAAACTTGCGTTTGAATCATCAGTGGCAAATTCTTTAAATATGAAAACGTATTTACAGACTGTCCTTGCAAAGTTGGAATTGCCCCACTTTATAGAAACAGACACGGGCATTGTAGGCTACTCTCACAGGAAACAGTCCTCAACCTCCGCAAAATGCGCTGCACACATCTGAATATTTGGGTTGAACTGTTCCAGACCAGTGTTGTAAATACAACTTAACCACTGATTTTTAGTTGTGTCCACTTTTGGAAGGCCAAACAATGTAGTTTCGCTTTCATAACGAAACACATAGCATCTCCACAACATGGCGGCGTCAACAACAATACTACAGCGAGAATAAAAGTTACGCCTTCTTTCTTTGTGTGAACATTTGGTCGGCGTTATGCAAATCTTCCCACATAGTGACGTAGACATGTGGAGGCGTGTTAGAACGAGCCATTTTAGGAAGGCGTGGTTGACTCTTAACTTTTATAAAGAATATCTCTTTGGATTTGAGACTTTAGTCTTTGCAACTTTACAGATCTTCTTTATGCACCAAGAGCTTGTAACACTCCAAAGAGAAAGGACAAATTTAAATCGCATCATATGACCCCTTTAAAGCATCAACATTCACAAACCACTGTTATTTTTAACAGAAAAGCATATGGGCTGCTGCATGCGTGGTTTGGCATAGCAGAATGCGAGCAAAGAGTGCTTACTTTCTAATTACTAAAAAGCTGACATCTCAGTTCATCGCAATCTCACAAAGCTGTTATAACACAATGAATATATGCACAATGAATCTTTCATTGTGTCCACACTTTGTGTGTTATACTGAGAGGATTCGTGAGCACGCAAATTTTAGCACTACCCAAGAACTTCCTTTTGAAAAAGTGGATTCTAAACCTCTGATTGCCCATTGCTTTCCAGAAATCAACAGCCTATGTCTGTGATTGACTACATTGCTCAACGCTGCAAACACGTTATAAATAGAAACTCTGCCTATGCTTGTGCCTGTTAATCGTTTTTATTTTATATTAGTTATTCTTGTTGCTTTTGTGCAATAGATGAATAGCAATTATTTATTTGTGTTTAGATATTTCTATTTTGCGGGAGTCCTGCAAATCATTTTATTCTCCCGCATCCCGCTGGACACGAGTGTCTACCCGCACTCCCCCATCAAGTGTTGTCCCGCGCCGCACTCTGTTGCGGTAGTCCCATGGGAGTGCAGCAGGTCTCTACATTCATTATAAGCACTTAACCATAACCTCAATTTCTTGGGGAAAATATTTTATTTGTGGTATTCAACCTTATTCCAAGTGCTGTTGATTAATTTTAATTTATAATTAAAGGTGTAATAAACTGAGAAATCAAAATTCCCTTGATCTTCTGACATATAAGAAGTCAATGTACTATGAAAACATCCTGTAAGTGTCACATCTCAAAACTTTATCGTTAGTCTAAAAACAGCTTATATTAAAGCCAATCTGCTCAGGTTGTATGACATAATACTATGCCTAAACAACGCCTCTGCAGAAGAAGATCAATGCCTGCTTTACTTCTTTTTTTTTCATTGCTTGCTTCTACATCACTGCCTGTTTAGCCCCACCACCAATTCACAAATGTAGTAGGCAAATGATGAGAGAGGCAAACTCAAGTCTATACAGAACCCAAATGATAAAGATGGCTCTGAATACAAGATGCTGTGCAGTGCCAAGTTGTGGAAAAACACATCTTTGCATTGCCTTCCTTCTGATCTCAGCGTTAGGAAAGAGTGCATGAACTTTATTTTGAATGAAGTTCCAGACCGTGTCAGTAAGAGCACTGTCCTTTGTTCTCTTCATTACCATGTATTCGTTAACAAACAAGGCACAATTCGACACAGGATTTTCAGAAAGATTGAAACTAAAAGATGATGCTATTGGATCCAAAAGTAACGTCACATCACACAAGTGTGAGTAACTGTTTTTATTACGTGCTCACTATAGCTTTGTCTGTTATTACAGATCATTTGATATGTAAGCTACTGGGTATTTATGCGTCCATCTGTAAAGGATGTAGGTTGTCAAATATACACAACTGTAACCTGGACACACCAAGCCGACTTCAAAGAACTAGAGGCGACCAAAGCCGACGGTGTTGTCGCCTCACGCCGGCAGCGTCGGACCAAAAAGCTGGCTGGAACACACCACACGACTACAACCGACGGCAAACTAAACACGTGCGTTCTGTGCATGCGTGAGAGGAATTACCAGTGGCGGCTCGTTGGGGGAGGCAGGGGAGGCACAGCTTCCCCATAATTTTGAGGTGAAAATGGGAGGAGGACGATTTAATGTTAATAAAATTCACAATTAATTTCAGTTCATGTCTCAGAATGTGTATTTTTTGTTTGTAATTTCACAGTTGTAATACCATAACGTGAAAGCGCCGCTTTTCTATCGCGAATGTGCCGAATCTGCTGATGTAATTACAACCGCTAATGATAGAGAAGGGGAGGGGGAGGCCGGGAGAGAGCTGGGGTAAGTTCAAGCTCAAACCGGTGCGCAGCGTTTTGCTACGGTTTCCGGTGTGAACGACATGTTTCCTGGAAACGGTGTGCAAGCGTTTTCTGACTAAAAGCAACCAAAAAGCCATTTTAAAGTGGTTAAGCAAATAATAATAATAATAATCGGCAGGGATCCCAGACCAATACAATTAAGCCGGGCTCACACTACAGGATTGAAAGACTAGCCGAATCACTGTGTTGTTCACACTGCGCAACAAGATTTGTTCTCATCTGTCTCGTCTTGTCATAGCTGCGCACATACTACACAACACAATGCTAACGAGGTGCACACACTACAAAACATTCAGTGAAGAGGCGTTCCCGACCATCAGCGAAAATACGTTTTCTCACATAAATTATCACGAGAAATTACAGCGATTATAGGCAATTTCTTCAAGCATGGACGATCAACTGGCCCTTCAATTGGTCTGTGCAGTTATTTTATCCGAAAGAAAGAAGAAACCATGACATAAGAGAATATGGCAGAAACAAGGCTTGGAAGATGTGGGGTTTGTCGCAGACTGTGGAAATCTGTCCTCAACAAAAATCCTGTAGTGTGAGCCTGGCTTTAGTGTGCCTCCTCTATTTTAAAACCCACAAGCTGCCACTGGGAATTAACTGTCTGATCAGCTGCTATCAATTATTTGTCATTCAAAGACGTTTTCTGACTAAAAGCAACCAAAAAGCCATTTTAAAGTGGTTAAGCAAATAATAATAATAATAATCGGCAGGGATCCCAGACCAATACAATTAAGCCGGGCTCACACTACAGGATTGAAAGACTAGCCGAATCACTGTGTTGTTCACACTGCGCAACAAGATTTGTTCTCATCTGTCTCGTCTTGTCATAGCTGCGCACATACTACACAACACAATGCTAACGAGGTGCACACACTACAAAACATTCAGTGAAGAGGCGTTCCCGACCATCAGCGAAAATACGTTTTCTCACATAAATTATCACGAGAAATTACAGCGATTATAGGCAATTTCTTCAAGCATGGACGATCAACTGGCCCTTCAATTGGTCTGTGCAGTTATTTTGTTCGAAAGAAAGAAGAAACCATGACATAAGAGAATATGGCAGAAACAAGACTTGGAAGATGTGGGGTTTGTCGCAGACTGTGGAAATCTGTCCACAATGGCAAAATCCAGCCAAAAATCCTGTAGTGTGAGCCTGGCTTTAGTGTGCCTCCTCTATTTTAAAACCCACAAGCTGCCACTGGGAATTAACTGTCTGATCAGCTGCTATCAATTATTCGTCATTCAAAAGGAGAAACCGAAACAAAGATATACGCTTGCTTACCATTTTGAATATCAGTAACATTGATAACTTTAATAATGTTAAGCATTTAATTCGCCTATTAGAATGATTGGGAAAGATCACGTAACATTTAAGTAGCCTTTAAACAGCCTTCTGTCTGTACCACCTTCATTTAGGTGCTTGTTTTCATCACTTTCGCTTTAATTCTCGGGCACTGACTCGTTCGCTAAACTGAACATCCAATCAGAAGAAAACATGTTGAATCGGGCAAACTGCCGCCGACGTGAGCCCGACGAGAGCCGACGAGTGGAACACACCAAACAAACTAGCCCGACCGTCGCTTGCCGCTGGCCAGCGGCCTTTAGCCAATCATAGCCGTGGGCGATGAGGCCGGGTCAAAACAGAACAGAAAATATCCTATTACTTTAACGAGTGGAACACACCAAACAAACTAGCCCGACCGTCGCTTGCCGCTGGCCAACGGCCTTTAGCCAATCATAGCCGTGGGCGATGAGGCCGGGTCAAAACAGAACAGAACATATCCTATTACTTTAAAATTATGATGTTTTTTATGTAAACATCTTGATAACATTATAAGTGGACCTCTGAGAACAGATTAATTATTAATATAACAAGAATATGTGAATTTAATTTCTACTCACCATAGATAGAAACACTAAATGTTTTTGATGACCATTTTGCACCAATTATCTGTAGTTGATAATGTCCAGCATGTTGAGTTGTGATGTCTGTGATGATCAGAGATCCAGTCTGTTTGTCTAGCTTCAGCCTGTCTCTAAATCTTCCATCAGGACTATCATATGTGGAGAAGATTTGCTTATCTCTGTTGATTTTAGCTATGAGAAAATGATCAGCTCCAAATTTCCACAGTATATTGTCGGTGTCTTGTATTTCAGTAACATCCATGCGTAAAAGGACAGAATTTCCCTCTATCACTGACACTGACTGTATTTCATCTTTCAGAGCAACAAAAACACCTTCAGGACAAACAAAACAGGTTTTAGGCAGGTTAAGGCTCCTGATGGTTTTCAAAGCATGAAATCAACTGCAGTTTGAAACTCTATGTTTATTGCTTTTTGACCAATTAATTTATATTACTTTTGTTGTTATTCATGATAATTTTAAGAGTTAGCTGGGCAGGATTCCTATGTGTCTGGTAACAATCCTTGAAGTTAATATATTTAAAAATCACAAACAAAACAAATGAATGACCAAACAAACGGCTTGAGATATGAAAGTGGCTCAATGGAGGATTTCACTTCCTGTGATTGTTTTTTTCGTTATAGACATTTATTCTCCATGACTTTTAACATTTTATTACTTTTCATGACTTTTCCAGGCATTATTACAATTTAAATTACAATGAAAAAATCCAAGATCTCACAATATCTTAGTTGTCTGATTTGATCTGAGATAAAAGCAAAGTGAAAATAGTCTAATCTGACAAGTAGCAATAGTTTGTTACTTGTTCTGAAACATGATATATTAAGCCTTAAAAAAGCATTAATAACTTACTGATCAGACTCCACCAGCACAAACAGAACAAAACAAACATGGGAAACATTTTCTTCAGTTGTTCAATGTCTGATCGAATAAGACCATCTGTTGAAAACACTCCTCCCACGACAGGTTTTGAACCCCCTACTTCACATGCACATTCTCTGTGTGTATGTTATACATAGTCTTCTGTCCTGTAGACTTCTTATAGACTTTAACTGTTCCTGACAGTGGAAAACAATCTTGATCTTTATCATTTAACTTTGATAATGTCTGAAAGGTATAGTTGTCTGACTATATTAATTATTACTCCTATTAATAGAAGAGTGGTATGTTATGCCAATTTCCTTGCATGGTGGCATGGGATCTTACTGACTTTAAAATGGTGTTATAATTAAACAAAATTACCTATATACCAGTTATTGTGTATATGGAAAAATAAAACAAGAAAGTTGGCAGTTTTACTAAGGTTTGATTCTAGCAGCTCATACTGAGTCATACTGAAACCTCCTGTGGTTGTTTTTCTTCAGAAAAGTGGTTTGATCTGTTGAGTGAAGAAACGTTGTGTATGCGGCCATCGGTTCGATGTGTTTAGTTTGTAGATGAAAAGTTTCTTCCAGTTCTGCTGCTATGAACTTTAGAGTTTGACTTCCTCTCTAGATAAAACTGCTTTAGAATGAAATAAAGTAGTAAATCAATCAATCAAAACTGATGTATGAAAAGTCAAATAAGATTCATTTACATTACATTTATTAATTTGGCAGGAAAACAACAAGCGATTCATCATCATAAGATGGCAATAAACACGAGAAGTTCCCATTATACAGGTCTTTAGTTTATCATTTTTTTAAATGCTCACGGATAAGATGAGTTTCCAGTTGTTTCTTGAAACTTGTGAGGGATTTGGCTGTTCGGTGTTAGGTAGGTCATTCCACCAGTGAAGAACAGTGAAAGAACAGTGAAAGAAAACGTCCTTTAAGTCACTATGAAATTAAAAATGACAGTTCTTATATATATATATATATATATAATTATTATTATTTTTTATGTGCCTGCGTAATCTCTTCCCTGATGACACAAGTCTCTGCAATAGGGTTGGACAACTTGTCACTGACGTATGTTCCACCAATAGCAAACGACAATGATCTTATCAATTCCCGCCCTACATTTCCCTAACAGTCATTTTCCCAGAAAAGGTTTAATTGTGATTTAAAAAATGGCCTTCTGAAACAGAGATCAAATTCAGAACACCTGGACTATGAAGTCCTAAACTAAAATAAATGAGATTCATTTAAAACCAACTGTGCTAATTTGAATTATTACGGCCAAGGTCGCCTATAAAACATGAAGTGAACCAAGAAAAACTTAAAATTGTATGGAACTGAGAAGCAAATCCATGTAAAAAAATAACAGCAGATTTTACTGAGGAAAATAAACTTTTTAAGCAAATAGCTGTCAGAACAAACACACATAGACGAAAGAGCAGATGAATCCAGGCAAGTTTTATAACAAGAAGGTCCAGAATGGTAATATAAAAATGAAGTATGACTTTCCTTACAGGTGCACAGGGGACCCAAACTTTGACACAATACCCCCACCCAGCAAGCAATAGCCGTCATTTCATTTCTATATGTAACCCACTTCTAGCCCAAATAACCTTGAATTTGGTTTCATGTCGTTTTTTGGCAAAATAACTTGTGAGATGTATGATATTCCATCATGTAAGCAAAGTAACAGCGTTTACAGGGTGTTTGGTTTCAATTCTTTGACATGTTCAATACGTAGCCTGAGCGTAGCCATGATTTAGCTCTGTAGTCAGAGCGGCTGTCTGTAGCCCACTTATAGTCAAACCTGACTCACTGTAGTTTTTGGCCAGGCAGCGCATGAGATGGTTGATATCCCATCATGTTCGCAGTGTCAATAATATCTACAAAGATATAAGTGTCATTTCATGACATGGTCTATATGTAGCCACGATTTAGCTCTAAATTGGACGGGTTACGTGTAGTCTGCTTTTAGCCCACCTGGCTAAATCACTGCGGTCAAGCCAGCCCGCGCTTTGAAAATGCACGGTCAAGCCAGCCGCACTATTTTTTTGTTTGCGCGTGTAATTGTGTAATCTGCTTTGAGAGCAGTCAAAATGCATGCAAAGAAGCTGTCATACCTAAGTTTCCTTTATAATTTGCTTAATTTAACTTTTATTTTTAGTTTGTAAATGCATTATTTTTTGTACATAAACGTTTGTATTGTACATAAATTAGTATAAATAATTTATTAATGTTAATAAATGTTAATATTAATGTTTTATATTCATTGTTTTTTTTATTTAATGTTTGTGTACTTCCACTGTGTCCAATATTCCAACACTCATAAAAAGTGTTCCTTTTAAAGGTTAGCTAATTCTTTTAATTTATATGTATTCAGAGTGACCCTGACTATCACTGTCTTCATTTTCAAGGCATTTTACTGTATAGTTTTGGAGAAAACTAAAAGCAAAATCACCCCAAACAACAAAATGCGTCCTAGCACTTGCACTGTGTCCCATATTCCAACACTCATAAAAAGTGTTCCTTTATAGGTTAGCTCATTCTTTCAATTAATATGTATTCAGAGTGACCCAGACTATCTCTGTATTAATATTCAAATATTTTTACTGTATAGTTTTGGAGAAAATGGCAAATTCACCAAAAGCATCTAAATGCATAAGCACTTTTGCATCACGTTTAATTTCAAACCCTCATAAAAATATTTTCTTTAGAGGTTTGCTCGTTCTTTTAATTGATTCCTGTTCACAGTGACCCTGACTATTACTGTATATAATTTATTATTATTTACTGTATTAAAAAACTGTGGTTTTGGAGAAAATTAATGGCAATTATATATATTATATATATATTATAATGGCAAATATTATATTATATTTATTACTGAACAATGGCTTGTTAGATACAGAGAGAGCATGAGCTAATTGAATAGAATATCTTTGTCATTGTACAAGTAACGCTACAATAAGATTTATTTTGTTAATAGTGTTCATCGTCTGTTAGATTACGTCTTTAATTGATTTTTCCGTACATTTCTGCCATATGTACATTGACTGACAGTCACCACTGATAAACTACCACTAAATATTGTAGAAACTTAATTTGCTGTAAAGTTGCTTTGCAATGATTGTATCGTGAAAAGCGCTGTACAAATAAACTTGAATTGAATTGAATTTTGAAACTTCCAAATTGATAGTAAATCTTAAGAATACAAATTATTTAAAATGGTAATATAAAATGATCAATTATCACAAGTTTGCAGCAGTATTAAAATAGTGCAAATAGCTCAGATGTGCAATGCGCTGTATATTGAATTTGTTTGGATGGATTGTCATTTTGTTGTCTATTAGATGTATAAATGTAGTCGTTTAATAGCCGTCTAATTGATGACTAGTCTATTCTTGGGCTATGGTTAGACATCTATTATATTTTCACTGACAGCCCAAATTTAGCCTTGTTTTAGCCTAGACCCATATTCACCGTCTATTAGATGTATATATGTAGTCGTTTAATAGCCATCTAATTGATGACTAGTCTATAAATGGGCTATGATTAGACGTCTATTAGATTTTCACTGACAGCCCAAATTTAGCCTAGTTTTAGCCTAGATGTCTGGGCTGTGTTTAGACGGCTAATAGACGCTAATCATCAGCTTATACTTTATTACTTTATTAATTACTGTTTTATGAAATCTGTGGGTGGACATTACAATAGTAATTCGCTACAGGTGTTGTGGGAGAATATATATATATATATGAACTGCTGCAGATGTTTAAGACTAGCAGAGGACCTGCCAATAAATATACTGACCAGGTGATGGTATTACTGACAGGAAAAATTGACAGTCAGCAGTCTTTGGAGAACATACCAGATGAAGAGCATGACGACGATTTCCTGGAGGAAGACTAGAGCTACTGTTTAAAAGAAAATGACACACACACACACACACACACACATACACATACAAAAAATTAAAAAGGTAACTGCGACTTATGTCACAATTTTGACTTTATAACACAAAATTAAGACTTTATATCTCGCAACTCTGACTTTATAACATGGAACTATGACTTTAAAACTCACAATTGCGAGTTTACAATTCTGAGAAATAAAGTCAAAGTTGCCAGTTTATATCATGCAATTCTGAAAAAATTATAATTTTGAGAAAAAAAATAACAGTTTTTTATTTTATTCACTGGTGGAAATGTGCTTATACAAGATCAAAAATATTTTTAATCTCTGCACTGCACATATTGCACAGTTTTCAAAAATGCCAAATTCTACTATAAATTAATGTTTTTATTTTATTTTATTGATTGGTTGATTGATTTATTCATTCAACATTTTTTTTTATTACACTCAAAGTTTCTTAAGGAGGTTCCATTGTTGCCAAGTCCACGGTTTTCATGTTATCATCATGTTGTCATGTTAAATATGAAAAGGAGTTGTGTTCTGCTGAAAGGAGGTTTTGACCCCCTCGGAATGCAAATTTGGAGGGATTTTGATAGCCAATTTCCCATGGAAAGCGATTGGGATAGTTTTATTACCAGTGGGTTGGTTTTATTATGCAGACCTGGCAGCCCGAGGGACACTGGGTTGTGACTGAGGCCAAGATGGACGGAAGTGGAGTAGAGTCCGGAAGTGATCTGGATTTGGAGGATGTAGATGGCGGGGGAAATGAAAGAAACTAAAGTAGTAAGTGGACTTTAGTAGAAAAGCGGAAAAGAAGGAAAGATTGGAGCCAAACATCAGGAACAGAAAGTGAGAGAGAATGTCATCAGATGAGAACAAGAAAGGAGGAGTTTAAGGTATTGGTGAAGTTTATGTCGGAAGAAGCAAGTAGTTTGAATCCCTTGAAATTGACTAAGTCACTGAAGGAAATGGTAGGAAATATTGAAAGTGCTAAGATGTTGCGAGATGGAAAAATTATAATTTTCTGCAAAGACAGTAAACAACAAAAGGCTGCTCTAGGGATTAAGACTATTTTAGGGCAAAAGGTTACTAGTCAAGTTATGGGAGAAAAGAAATGGATGAGAGGAGTTATTACTGGAATACCAACAAATGTATCAGTAGATACGATTAAGAAAAGCATCTCAGGAGCAAAAGTGATAGATGCGAGGAGGCTGAAAATATACCCGAGACAAAGAGAGGATGGACAGTCTTTCTGTAATGGTACATTTTGATGAAGAAAAATTGCCGGAAAGAGTGTTTTTAGGATTTATGAGCTATGTAGTTCGACTTTACATTCCACCCCCGCTAAGGTGTTTTAAGTGTCAAAAATATGGACATGTGGCTACAGTATGCAGAGGGAAGCAACACTGCTAAATGTGGGGGGGATCATGAATACGGAAAGTGTGAGGAAGGTGTGAAACCTAAATGCTGCA